TGGACTTCCCAAAGGAGGACCTCCTGTGAGAGTGGCCTCTCAAATAACCGATTGGAAAAAACAGGAACAGGAGAAGCTGCTGCAAGGCAAACTGGTAAGCTGTCTTCAACAAAAGAATCAGACTGCTTTGCATTTCCAGGCTGTCTGGACAAGCCGATGAGAAGTGAGGAGGTGGTGGTCTCCTCCTATGACTCATCCTTTTCCTCCTAGTCTGGACAGGTTGCTATGGCGTAAAGGGCTGGTAACAGTGGAATGACTGATGACAGAATTGCTTTTTAGAGAGTGGAGTATAAACCCCACAAACTTCAGCATAGCCTTGGAGTCCTTGCAACTGTGATGCTTATCAGTCTGCTGGGAAAATAGGGTCAGTCCCTCAATGGAGAGATACCCAATAGTCTGCTGGACCTCCAGAGGAAGACCTGATGACTGAAGCCATGAACACGTACACATTGTGACAGCAGAGGCCCATGGCCCTGGCTGCAGTCTGTCCCATGCAAAGCAGCCTGGAGAAAGGTCCAAGCAAACAGTTTTCCCTTGTCCACTACTGCCAGAAACTCTTGTCTGGCACCTCAAGTAACTTGTCTACAAACTTGAGAACATTGCCCCAGTGGAAGAAATCTTATCTCCCCAGCAAAGCTTGCTGGTTTGAAATACGAAACTGCAGCCTAGCAACAGAATAAATTTTTCTAGTGAAGAGAGAGTTTCTTTGCCTCTCTCGACTTTGGGGTAGAAACAGGTTGCCCGATGCACTCTTGATCACAGCTGAGACCACAAAAACCCTAAGGGGGCGTTGGAGTTGTACAAACGCTCAATTTCCCATGAGGGGACATGAGACCTCCTCCTCAGTCCTTTGGGCCATCGGTGGTAGAGAAGGCGGTGTTTGCCACAAAACCTCTGTGGACTCCAGAATGGCCTCGTTAATGAGGAGGGCTCATCAAGAGGGCTCTACTGAACCCAAAATATCCACCAATCAATGTGAGCTCTCCTAAACTACCTCCACTTGTATGTCCAGAGAGGAAGCCACCTTCTGCAACAGGTCCTGATATGCCCTGTAATCATCCTGAAGAGGTGAGGACACACTGGACACCACCAGGGAGGAGGAGGAGGAACACAGAGCAAGTTGAGATGGTACCTTCCTTAACTTCTCTGATAGAGATCCTGCTGGGGCTGCTGCTCGGCACCCAACCCCGTACCGAGGGTGGCCTCACATGCCATCTCACAGACTATTCTGGTGTCTACTTGGGGACCTGAGGGAGGAGCTAGTGGTGGGAGGAAACCCTCAGAGGCTCCAGTATGGCCACTGGTAGGGCATTAGACCCCAACCTCTTCCAGACCAAGGATCCATGTCCCTCGACCAATGTGGAATCTCTGCTGTATACCAAGGGCGAAAACGCCTAGATGGAGAGTGACGTCACCTCTCTCTAGATCGAGACACATATGAGCCAATCTCTGATTCTGAAAATGAGCCCAAGTCACCTGACCAGGAGGACACAGTACTTCTCGGTGCCAAGGACCGCCATCAAGACTCAAGAGATGACAATACCGAAGAAAGCATCTTAGGCTTGCCTCTTCATGGCACCAGATAAGGAGGTGCAAGACTGTCCGTTATCAGCACAGAGAGATTCCCCGATGCTTCTGTCCTTGTGTCTAAGGGTTCAGTGCCGCAGAGTGGGATGGTACTCCAGCAGTGGTTGGTTTCAGAGGCACAGGGCTTGGTGCTGGAGTTGACAATCCCGCTTGAGGTGCAATTGGCACCAACAAGTACTTCCTCTCCGAGGACACCCTCCCTTGTATCCTGGTCGAAGGAGCTGGGAACCTCAATCTCTTGCAAGATGAGTACTTCGAAGCACCATGCCAGTGTTTTTTTCCTCGGTACTGGGAGAGTAGTATCAAGACCCTACAATGTCTGGAGGAGCGCTCCTAACAGAAGTAGACTCTGTGCCTGCCTTGAGCGAGCAGGCTCCGAACACGGACGCAGGGCTGCCTCCGCAAAGAGGTGACCCATCCCTATCCTTTCTAGTTTGGGGCACCTGTTACAGACATGACCCTCGCCAAGGCACTTTAAACACTGAGAATGAGGGTCACTCACTGGCCTGGATCTCCTGCCGACAGTGCAAGGACTAAAGCCCCAAGAATGAGGCATTCCCTGGTACTGGGCGTCAGCACCCACAAGTGAGGACTGACCATTCTAGTAGACTACAAAGCAATTAAGAAAATGAAACCTAACTAAATCAACTATAAATTTACAAAAACGAGTACCAACTATACGCAAGAGAGACAACTTGTATATGGGGGGGAGGGATAGCTCAGTGGTTTGAGCATTGGCCTGCTAAACCCAGGGTTGTGAGTTAAATCCTTGAGGGGGCCACTTAGGGATCTGGGGCAAAATCAGTACTTGGTCCTGCTAGCGAAGACAGGGGGCTGGACTCGATGACCTTTCAGGGTCCCTTCCAGTTCTACGAGATAGGTGTATCTCCATATATTAACTCCATGAAAGGGAAAAATTCTCATTGAAAAAAATGGTTATCACCTTCTCGTAACTGTAACCATTTTTTCTTCTTCGAGTGCTTGTTCGTGTCCATTCCAAACAGGTGACTCACAAGCCCAAGTTCAGGAGGTGGGGTTGGAGTCATCCACTGATTGGAGCACTGCCCTTCCAAAGGCCGCATCGTCTCTGGCCTGCTGGGTGATCGCATAGTGCATGGTGAAAGTGTGTATGGAGGACCATGTCGCTGCTCTGCAGATTTCCTGGGTGGGAACCTGCGCCAGGAACGCTGTTGAAGAGGCCTGGGCCCTGGTGCGCAGTGATCAGAGGAGCAGGCACCTTCGTCAGGTTGTAGCACTCATGGATGCAGAGCGTGATCCATGACGAGATACGTTGAGAGGAGACAGGAAGACCTTTCATTCTGTCCGCCACTGCCACGAATAACTGGACAGACTTTCAGAACGGCTTCATTCTCTGGATGTAGAAGGCTAGCGCCCTGCGGACAACCAACGAGTGAAGCCTCTGCTCTCTGCCGCTTGAGTGTGGCTTAGGATAGAACACTGGGAGGAAGATGTCCTGGTTGATGTGAAACTGGGAGACAACTCTGGGAGGAAGGCTGGGTGAGGCCTGAGCTGAACCTTGTCCTTACAGAGCATCATGTAAGGGGGCTCTAATGTCAGTGCCTTGAGCTCAGACACCCTCCTGGCTGAGATTATCGCTACCAGAAACGCTACCTTGCATGAGAGAGAGAGCAGGGAGCATGTCGCCAAAGGTTCAAAGGGGGGTCCCATAAGTCTGGAAAGGACCAGATTGCGGTCCCAAGCCAGGATAGGCTGTCAAGACCTTTAAGGAAGCGGCTGATCATAGGGTTAGTAAAGACCGAGCGGCCCTCTGCACCTGGGTGGAAGGCCGAGATGGTGGCCAAGTGAACCCTTATTGATGACATGGACAGCGCCTGCTGCTTGAGATGGAGAAGATGGTCTAATAAATGGCACAGAGGCGAGCGTCGGGGATGAACGGTGCTGCACCGACCAGATTGAAAATCTCTTCCACTTGGCAAGGTAGGTGGCTCTCGTGGAGGGTTTCCTACAAGACTCCTTCTTAGTCTGGGCCCAATCCTTTCCCTTGGTACAGTTCTTGTTAGTTCCAGCTCAGGTGGTAACTAGGGGTTTTCTCATGACTGCAGCCCCCTTTGTTCTGTTCCATCCCCTTTTATAGCTTTGGCCCAAGGCAGGAATCCTTTGTCTCTCTGGGTCCCCACCCCTCCTAAATGGAAAAGCACCAGATTTAAAATGGATTCCAGTATCATGTGACATGGTCACGTGTCCTGTGAGACCCCTAGTCTCCATTCTTCCAGGGCTGGTCGGCAACTACCCCAGAAGATTTGCAAGTAAACAGAGCCATTTACAGGTGATTGATTTTGAAGCACCCTTAATGGCTTCCACTTAACATGTTTACCTCAGTAATACAAGTGTATATCTTATTCTCCTAACTCCAGACATAGAAATAATACATGCAAACAAATGGGATGAACACACAAATGGGTAGATCCTAAGCTTTGCAATTATACCTTACAAGAGACCTTTTGCATAAAGCATATTCCAGTTCCATCATATTCACACTTAAAAAATCCTGCTACCCTGCACATGTGCGCGCACACAGCTGGTTGGAATGGACATGAACAAGCACTCGAAGAAGAAGCTAACATGCGCAGACAACCAACCATGGACAGTAAGAAGGAACTGAGGGGAATCAGGTCCACCTTTTATATGACTGCACAGCAGCACGAGGCAGCAGAGGGCACATGCATCACCTCAATGGGTACTGCTAAAGGACAAATCTCTGACACTGGTGTCCTGAGTGCACACACACCAGAAGCGGAATGGACACATGCAGTCACTCGAAGAACGGCACATGCGGGCGATCAGAGTAAAGGATATAGTCACACTCCAGGCTGACTGATCTGTAGCACACACTTTTAACTTAAGGTGGTGCATCTGGCATCCATGCCATGTGCCTAGGGAGCTGTCTGCCTCCCCAAAGTGGGACTCACCTGCCCGGTCGGCTGGGCTTGGTGTATGAGAGCACGGGGGGGAGGGCTGAAGCATTCACTGGCCTTCCAGCACAAGCAGCCTTTCACTAGTGCACCTCATTCCTCCACTGCCCGCATCCCTGGGGAGGCAAGCACGGCCTGTGGCATGACAAAGTCTGTTGCTAGGGGTGCCAGAATGTGGTGTTTCTTCCCGTGCTAAAAGCTAAGACCCTGGAGATGGTCACAGCCCCTGCTAGCCGGCAGAGCTCCGTCCCAAACCAGCCACCCTGGGAGAGAGGGTGCCACACTGCCCGGCCAGGGCTTCGTTTGTGCTTCCTTAGTGTCAGTTGAGGCCAGAGTCCCTGTATAGCAGGAACGAGGGCCCTTAAGCTAAGCAGGAGGCACCTCTCACCCAGCAGTCAGCCACTGCCTATATACAGCCCCGGGCCCTGTTTCCCAGAACGCACAATTGGCCCTCAGTACCTGTAGGTTTTTTCCAGATGAGGTGTTTCCACAGAAGCTTTAAATCCACTTCCTCCCAATGTAACAGTGGGGTCTTTCACAGTGCCGTCACCTGGCAAATGGAGCATACAGGCATGTTAGAGCACCCTTCAAGCACAACCACGAAAGACTTGCAAAATACATTGCTCCCAATCTAATCATTACTGAGGGCAATTCAATGTGCAGCGGCCTTTTCATGATGCTTTCTCTTCTACATCAACTGCCTCTGTAACTCTCACTTGTGCACAGCAAGAGTCATACTCTTAAGTGTGCAGCATGAAACCGAAAACAGGTGACAGCCTTCCTGGAGGAGTGGGGGGAGCCCTCCTATCGCTCAGCAGACTGACAGCTCTGCCGTTCAATGGGCTGTCCACGAGGGACCGATCCTACATTGAACTAGGGCTGAGGGACCTTTGCCATCTCTACACTCTGGGATCCCAGCCATCTTCAGGACAAGGATGCGAAACCAATCCTGGCAGCCATGCATTCTGCCTCACAGCATTCTGCAAGAAAAGGGGGAACAGGCCACACAACAAACTCACGTGCAGATGCTATTGCTTCAGCAAGGAGTCACCGGAGATGGCATCCAGCTAGAATGGTGTTAAACACAGGGTTTGCTTGTCATGCAAGCCTCCTATCAACTACGAGGCCATAGGTACAAGGCTGGGGCCGCGTCTGAGACCTGGGCATTTGAGAGTGAAAGTTCTGTGCGTCAGTCTGATCTGCAAGCACCAGCGTCACGCCGCACAGCTCACACAGAGGGAGGAGCATGCCTAGGGGCAGGCATGGAGTACGATATGCAGAAGGTGGCAGATATGAGACCCTGGAAGTATGGAAACTTCAAAAGACAATTATTGTGAGATGTGCCGGATGCTGTGGGCATAGGAGATATTCATTAACTTGTGTATCTAGAAATGTGATCTGTATTCTTGTGAGCTGGGGATTGTATTCTAGCTACATGAGGCAGCATTGCCAAGCTTCCTCCAGGAGCTAAAAATCAGTGGAGAGTAATTATTGGGAGCATGTGAAATTCCATGGGTGAGTTAGCGATAGAAAGGTAAGAGAGGTGTCATTTGATTCGTAACAATCTACAGAATCATAATTCCAATGGTGTCGTCCTCCGTAGTATGGCACCAGAGACTTGGTGCCGTCTGGCTCCCAGCTCCAGCTCCTTGGATTGGTGGAAATTTTGATAATACAGTGTAATCAGAAATGGGTTGACTTGGTATCATTCAAAAGCCCTTTCTCGCTCAAATACTATGGTACCAAACATGACAAACCTAGAACAATTACGCAGATATATATGCATGAAAACATTAAAGAATAATTAAAAATTGGATTTTTAAAACACAGGCCTAACACACAGCACTCAAAGCTAAATTGTGGCCCTCGACTGACAGTACTGTGTTATCAGCTAAACGCTCAGAACATGATACCTGATTAATTTTTTTAATGTTACAGATTACTATAAATGAAAGGAGTGCTTCAGGTTGATTTGCCATCATCGCCAAAAATGAAGCAGGTCAGTGGTACTGATTATCAGTTTTGTTTATCTATTATGAATGGCAATGAGGCATTGGTTAAGATGTCAGTATCCAGGCAATAATTACTGGACTGCATCTGCAAACAGTACCCACATAAAGCAACAAAAAGTCCTGTGGCACCTTAAAGACTAACAGATGTATTGGAGCATAAGCTTTCGTGGGTGAATGCCCACTTCATCAGATGCATGTTTGTTGCTTTTTACAGATCCAGACTAACACGGCTACCCCTCTGATACTTAGTACCCACATAGTTACATCACATAATTAATTACAATTCCAAAGCAATTTATTACAAAATACTTGTTTTTACTTTGGTCTTGATCATTTTTAGGCATCAATGAGGAGAGTAGCTGAATCTTTGGAGAATACCTAAATACAATGCTTGCAGGGACCATACACGCTATCGGAAGGTGCACATAAACTGAATTTGGCAAGATTGGAGAGGAAGTACAGGACAAGGGCCAACTGTAGGTGAGACTTGCCTTATACTAGCCATGGAATGTGTTTTGAGAACAACACTTGCTGCTTCTGCCATAAGCCTGAAAGCATCCATTAAGCACAGTTACAATATGTGAGACAGGTGAGAAACCGCATGAAGCAGTCAGCGAGAAAGTCCCACGGAAAGTAAAGTTAAACGAGTGCAATGACCCAAAAGACACCCACACACGACATTGCATATCACATAGAGTGATGCACCAAGAATATATGTAATGTGCTGCATCTAAAGGTAATAGCAACAGAAACAAATATGATTTTACTCCTGCAAACTGTGCAGTTCAAATTGTTCATTAATTGCCTTGCAGAAGCTGTAATGGGTAGGAAAATAGTGGCGATGGCCAATCTAGAGGCTAAGTACAGAGAAACAGTTGCTCTGAATGGGACTGAAGAGGAACAAACACTTAGCCAAAAGGTTCTGGAAGCACTTATTGAAGATGAACTGTGGGATATGGACATGGTTTGTAGTAATCCTACACATAGATGTGAATCAGAGCGCATATCCTTAAAAGCTGCAAAAGTTGTGGCGCTATCCAAAGAAAAAAGGCTGATGTCAACAGTAATATGAAGACTGTTTGCAACTGCTACATTTTTACAGAAAAGCATTTTGTCCTGCAGTACATGGGAGTTTCATTGATACACAATGGATGACCTACAGGAGCTCATTAATATCATAACGAAAACAGTCCTCAGGGATGAGGTTGTTAAAGATGTCAGCTGAATGGATACTTTGGGACATGACTAAGACAACGATTATGTCACGGAGGTCACGCAAGTCACAGAATTTGTGACTTCCATTGACCTCAGTGACATTTTCTGCCCCGGGGCTGGATCTCCAAGCCAGCCCTCCACCTCCACCCTAGTGGGGGGACCCCACAGCTGCCCAGCCACAGCTGGGGGACCACCAGAGCTCCCTGATGCCATGGGGGGGTGTGAGGGGACCCTGCAGTAGCCCAGCTTCCAGAGGAGGTGGGGGACCACAGAGCTCCCAATTGCTGCAGGTGGGAGGGAACCCCCAGAGCTCCCTGCTGCCACAGGTGGTGGGGCCCCCCCAGAGCTGCTCAGCTGACGCGTGGGGAGGGGGACCCTGGAGCTCCCACTCACCAAGCGGCGGGAGACACCAGAGCCCCAGCAACAGTGGGTGCTGAGCTGAACCCACCTCCCCATTTTGTCAGGGCTATTTTTAGTGAAAGTCAGACACAGGTCATGGGCTTTCGTGCATTTTTGTTTATTGCCCGTGACTTGTCCATGACTTTTACTAAAAACATCCGTGACAAAATCTTAGCCTTAGCCATGACTTGTATGAAACCTTCAAAACCAAAAGAATTATCCCAGGCTCCATCAGTCTATGGATTCCAAACAAGAACAGATGAAACCTGTGCTCAAATGCAAAGAAAAAAGTCAGAGTGAAGGTGGCAGGGATCAGTACAGAGCTAATCTCAGACAGATCATGGATTGTTTGTCTCCTGGTTGTGTCCAGATCTCAGTATGATGTTGATCTATGTGAGACTTTGGGAAAGTCTGAGTTCTTCATGGTAGCACTATCTATGTTCGAATGCGACAGAACAATGCATACGTGCCAGGCAAAAAGCAAACTCATGGTCATTTTGCATGGTCTTCCTAATCCAGCACCTACTGACAAAGGGACCGGAACCTTACGCCAATAGAGACTTTACAACACAGCAAACATAGATGGTGTGGCTGAGGTAAAAACTCGCAAACTAGAAACGTAACACCTGCCAAGATTTGGCTGAACACTTCATTATGAGACTACAGGGAAAATACTGGACCTATAACGAAGTCCATCTCCTGTTTGATGAGTATGCAAAGGAATTAATTACAAATATCACCAGAAAGAAGACTCCTTTGCACCTGTCCAATGCAAAAATCACTGACTCCAAGAACATCTCCAATGTCACAATGTACCATCTCATACTTACAAGAAGGATGAGTTAACAGCATACCTTGCAGGAAAAATGCTTCAGCATGTGAAGAATTGCTCCAAGAATTTTGTTGTTGCGTGGCATAATGAAGCTGCTGCCTCGCCTCACACTGTTCAGTGGAGTTTCTTCATAGTTCCCATGAGGAGACTGACACAAAGTTTCTTGCATGCCATCAGTGCCACCAAACTCCATATTTTTCAATAAGACACAGATGCTCTAGTACTCTCTCTGAGACGCTACTCAAGACTTCCACAAGATTCTGGTTTTGTGCCTGCTGCTGGGGAACAGAATCGCTGTATATCCATCAGAGACATGTTCCTATCACTCGGACCGTTAAACCCTGCTACACTGCAAGGTTTCTACGCCAAGATTTCTAGTGACACTACTGGAAGATTGGCTGGAAAGACCAAATTATCTTACTGGAAGCCATTTGATTCAGTATCTGAAGACTCTTTCCTCACTTTGAAGGTGCTCGGTACAGCTAAGACAGTCGCTGATGAAGTCATAAATGCACTGGAGAAGTTCATATGCTGAGTTTACCATTTGAGGATCAACATTACAACACTTGCAGAGCTACACTGGTAGATGTTTTCCAAGAAACAAACAGAGAAAAATTGCCCCAGACAAGGGGGTGCATTTATACCTGCTATCAAGAGAGCAAACTCCAGGATGACTGAGCAAATCCAGAACTACCCTCCCCGATCAGGCCTGGATAGATCTTTGAGGATGGACTCATTACACCAGTTGTGTGTTAAATAGCACACACTCCTACATCAATCCTTCAGCTAATCAAATGTGTGCAAAGACCAGATGCTCACCACCCTGCAAATGTTTGGAGAGCAACCCGCTTTACACGGACATGTGCAAGCGCAGCGCAGATGAGGATCAATGTGACAATGTGTCTAGCAGTGGTGCCCTAGAGGAGACAACATGGATGAAGACTGATGAATAAAGGTTAACTTCCCTAGAATTACTAAGGGTTTTTTTTTTTTAAAAAAAACATAAGCAATGGATCCTTGTGTTAATGTAGAATTAAAATAAGTTTATTTGTAAACATTTTCTGAAATATGTATCTACATGATTGTTCTAGGTTTGTCATGCTTGGTACCATTGCATGGTGGAAGAAAGCTTTCGAAAGATACCCAACTTGACCCATATCCAATGATACTATTATCAAAATTTCCAACTGAAAGACATGAAGCTGGGAGTGGGGGTGGGTGGGATGTCAGCGAGTCCCCTCTGTCACACCACAGAGGTAGACACCACTGAAATTATGATTCTGTAGGTTTTTACAAAATCAAATGACACCTCCCTGACCCTTCTGTTACTGACTCACCCACGGCATGAGATTTTGCTACAATATATTCCCAGACTAAAATCCTGGGACAAGCAAACAACTCCAGAGAAGTACCATCCCCTGGGAGGAACTGCATAGGCTGGATCAGACCCGGATCAAGAAGCCCAGATGACAAAGAAAGAGCTTGTGTTCTAAAAGGTCAGCCTGAAGTAACTGAGTGTCCCTCATTTAATCCTTGAGCTGACCTGAGACTGTAACCAAGAGGGTAAACCCTGCTGGAAGGGCATGAAGCCCTGGAACCTGTCAGGGTCTCCACCGGGGGAAAGAAGGGGAAGATAGGGGACACCTGGTAGGCCCAGCATGTGGGTAGACTGATGGTTGCTTTAGTATTGTTTTCCCTGTAATTCTTCTGTTCTAAATACAATAAATGCTCTGTGAAAGCTGGCTGCTCACTGTGCCGAGAGAGAGTGAATCACAGGTGCTGCACTCATGTCAGACTTGCTGGGATAGTAAGAGTGAACTGCAGGGGACAGCAAGCCTAGATCCCTTATCTGGAGGGAGAGGAACATGGGTCCCTGCTCATACAGACATGTCACTTGGAGGTCTGAGACCTGAAAGGGCACCCTTGAGAAGACCACAGAGGGAGCAGAGATCCAGCAAACCCAGGAACTGAGAGAAAGAGAAAACACACACCAACTCTGTAAACGGAGATCCTGTTGCTGGCGTCGAGGACAGCAAGGTCTGCGCTCTTTGTGGGGTCTGTGTGGAATGCGACCTGGTTCACTGCCTGCTGGAGCTGGAGCTGGAAGGTACACATGGGCGGAGGCACCACAGAATGCTGGAAGGCCGTTACCAGCACCTTATCTGAGGAAACAGAAAAATCAGGCTGTGCACCATCCCCCAACTGCAACTCCAGCTCTGACTCAGACTGTAATAGACACAGCAACACTACCAGAGGAAGAGGGGGCTTGGAGGGTGGGGAGGGGTACAATGAAGGGCTGCTCTGCCCACTGAGGCCCTTATTGAAAGCCCTTATTAATTCAACTCCTGTGGACTCTGAGGGGCTTTGGATTTAGCCCTGAAGGAGGGAGCTCTCCCACACACTGGTGTCTTTTATCATGTCCCTAAGTGAGAGAAGTAGCACTCAAGCATTGCAATGCCCCAGACAGACACCTGCTAAACACCAGACACACAAACGTTTAACACATTCCCCCTCCAACCTTGGCCTCCAACCATCACCTCCATCGATAACGGCCACGTTGGCCACAAGGTGGCTCTCGTCCCCAGTGCTGCAGTCGGTGCTCCAGTGCCAGTCATAGCAGAGGGCGTGCCATCCTCTGCAGAGAGCGTGCAGTCGATATGGGATCTCAGGGTCCCACAGCAGTGACACAAGCCGGCTTTTCTCAGCGCTGCCAAAATGCAGGCTCTGCTTCAGGTACCAGTGATAGTTCCCTACTGTCCAGAGCTGAACTACACAGAGAAATGTAGTCATTACACACTGCATGGGGGCTGGGGCAATAAGGTCACAGCTAGCACCCAGCCGCACCCTCCTCACTTACAGCTTGCGGGGATCCAACAGTTTTAGCTGAATGTTGTGGCTCAGGCCCTCTCTCTGTCATGGCCGCCACCAAAGATTATTTCAGCAGCCCTTCAGCCACCCTCTGCTCCAGGGAGGAAGACTAGCTTTGGGGTTAACACACTACACTGGACACAAGAGATCCAGGTTCAATCCCTGCCCCACCAGACTCCCTATGTGACTAGGGCCCAGTCACTTTGCTATCTGTACAGGGGGGATAACCACCCTTCCTGTCTCCCAACCTCTATCTTGCCTATTAAAATGGTGAGCTCCTTGGGGCAGGAGCTGTCTCTTTCTGTGTCTGTGCAGCACCCAGCACAAAGCAACCCTGACCGCCAAAAAGAACCTAAAACTTCTGTGCCCCTCCTCTTCCCCACAAAAGACCTTTCCCCAAGGGGACACTAGCATGAAGGGCTGGGATCTTCAGTCACTGGTGTAGCTGTTTCAGAAGCCCACTGATGGGCAGTGAGCTTTGGTATTGCTTCCACAGCAGCTGGCCTGGACAATGCCTGAGCAAAATCTAGTGAACTAGTGCAGTTTCTCCTGACCTTGCACAGGCATCTCAGAACACTGAGCAGAATCTCTCCATGTCTTCTGGCATATTGCCTCTCCACACCTCCTAATTAACGTGCACTTGGGGGCAGCCAGGACACTGCAAGTATTCTTACCATAGGTGTTTGTCTCGGAGTTCTTTTCTTTCTTAAGATCTTCCAACCAAACTGCCAGGATCGTAGAGTCTAAGTTCCAAAGCAGCTCGTTAACCTGATGGGATAGAGTCTCTCATTGGTGTTTCTGTCCATATACGAGGCAGACCACCATGTCAGAATCATTTACTCAAGCTTAAAAATGTTGGTTGGCTCCCTCCTTGCCCAGACAGCATACAAGTGAGCACGCCATCGCAGGGAATAGAAAGCAGTAACATATTACAAAGCTTATGCAAGGAAATCCCCCAGGCATGAATTTAAGACGGCAGACAGGTCTCCACATCAAGTAGCAGCAAGCACTGCATACACAGAGGGTGACAGCCTGGACCCCTCACCTACCTTGGCTTGGCCTTTCTGAAACGGGAGGGTGAATTCCCCGTGAAGGAGACCATTTTTCTCAAAGAAGACAACATCATGTTTGTTGGGCTTCTCCTGTGTGGAGGCTATCAGGCTTCCAGAGGGCCTTAAAACAAATGTAAGGGTAATGCATGAGTGACCACAACTGATTGCAAATTTAAGGCAAGGAACACATCTAGCTGCTTGCCCTTGCCCAGTAGCACACAAACCAAAGGAGCAGCCGAGCATGTGCTCTTATCAGGCCTCCAGCCAAGGCTCTTGCACCGCCACGCAGACCTTACTCAGGGTTCACAACACCACTGCAGAAATAATATTAGTACAGGAGAGGATAAGTGCTGCTGTCCCTCCCAAAGCTGAGCCAGCCTGGTATGGTGTTGCTATAAGACCATACATAGGGCCTAACCTCTCCTGCCAGCTCTGGTCTCACCTCCTGAGCAGAACGGGGAGCGGTCCTGGGAAATAGGAATGACTGTCTCTAAACGGCTCTTCCTCCTTACATGTTTGACCAGAGGGAGGGCAGCTCAAAGCAGGAAAACAAAGGAGGGAAAGGATCCTTCAGGCTCTGACAGACGCTGAGGAAACCCCACAGCCAGTGAACAAAACCCAACCCCATTCACCAGGAATGCAGGCTGCTCATTACTCACTTCCAGGCCAGTGCTTGTTCTAGTCCTGGGATAGGCTCACTTGTCGACTGTAAGACCAGCTCTCTGCTCCACACTCTGACCTTCCGGGCCCCTACACGAGACAAGGGTAAGGGGGGGAAAACAGGAAACTCAGGAGAAGCGTCCTCTGCTTTTGGTGGGGTGAGGTGGGGGTGGAAAGGGACAACTTCCTCATGAAGACCCAGAGCACAAACATGAAGTATGGGCACCTCTCGCAGATAATGGCAGCTGCAGACAGGGTCACTGGAATTGTTGTGCAGCTCACAATTATGACACAGCTGTGAGTGACTATGCACAAGGTTGGACAATCTGATTGTGACCATTCTCCTGCTTAAAGCGTCAGAAAATAACTCTTTTCTGCTTGGAGTTTCTCATGTGTATTCTATACTCAAACTTCCCAAATAACTCTGAGTTTCACATTTCCTTGCATTTCTGAGAGTTCCGATTCCAAAAACGACTTCTTTTGCATTCTGAGATGCACTGAATAGTTTTGGTCCAGTCACAATTAAAAGACAGCTTGATGTGCGACATTAACTCCTTGTGTGCAAGGTCCTGAATGAGAACAGGGGCCAGCTGACTTTTGAAATAAATGACGGTCAAAATCCAAACTGTTTGGAAGACCAACTTCTCTGGTAGCAGTTCCATGTTCTGACAGAATGCACAACCCTGCCCCAGATAACAAACAGGGGAGGCTGGGGTCTGGCCCTGCAGAGGGCAGCCTAACTTGCATACTTTGGTTGTATAAGCTATGACGTTCTGTTGGCACCGCAATTGTGTAGGGACATAGCTGTAACTCAGTGTTATCAGCCAGAACCCAGCACCCGAGGTTTTGATCCAAACAAGTGAAGTATCAGTTAGTGATAGCCAGTAGTGATACTCCCCAATATGTTTGCAAACCAAGCCAAAAGCCACATAAACTGGGTGTTTCTAATGGGCAAGAGGAGCGGTTTGGGAAGGTTTGCTTTCAGAAGAGCATGGTTTCAAAAGTTTGCTCCTAGCCTGTGACAGGGAGGAGTGAGAGGAAGAAATAAAACACACCAGCAATTCTAGCCACTGCTTTGCTTTCCAGGATGCAGCAGAAAACAACACCCCTCTTGTGGAATAGCCATCACACCATTTCTGACCTTGGCTAATCTCTGAATACGGGCCTGAGACAGATAATTAGGTCCATGGAAAGTGAGAAAGAGCAGAGCTGTGAAGTCAGAATCTGGGCCTGTTTCCCTGCACAGGGGGCGTTTTAGGTCCAGAGTTTGACTCAGACCCATCTATACTGAAAACCAGGCCCAAAATGGAAGGAAAAACCTTCAGCTTTTTTCTTTAATTGCCAGTTACTAAATATGACAAAGTAAGGCGGCTTTGTCATCTTGATAAACTGATAGCAGCCTCCCACACCAGCACAGGTAAATACTTCAATTTGGGGCTGGGCAGGTTTTCTAGATCAGTTAATCCCATACCTGTCTGTGGACAAATAGCGCTCACTGCTACAAACTGCCCATCTCCTCTCCAGGTGACTCGGGGTCGGCCATCATCAGAGGATGAAGCAGGTGGCACTTCCTGAAGTTATACAAGAAAAACCAAAGGATCAGGTGCAAGTCTGAAATGGCTGCTGTTGGAATGGCCTTTGGCTACAGAAAGCTATTGGCTGCCCCTGCCCTTTGCAAGTCCATTATGTAGTTTATTACATCCACAACAACAAAAACAGGTGTTAAAAGAATGTTAAGGTGGCAAAGTTAAGCACTCAACAGTTAGGAAATGCCAGTAATAAGACTCAGAGGGTAGCCGTGTTAGTCTATATCCACAAAAACAACAAGGAGTCTGGTGGCAAATTAAAGACTAAGATTTATTTGGGCATAAGCTTTCGTGGGTAAAAAACCCACTTCTTCAGATGCATCTGAAGACTGTCCATGTAACCTTAATTTGCCCCCCTTGTGTGCCTGCATTATGATACAGCCTTTAATGACAATCACATCCATTTTAGCCACAGCTCTCCTCACTTTTTCACTGCACAGGACAGACTGTGCTCTAGGGATGAACCAGGGCTGTGTAGTGAAGGGGGCTGTTATCTGTGGGACCCTGTCTGATGGGCTGCAGAAGTTTGAAGGTGTGCAGCGAACGAGGCAGGGAACTGCAGAAAGAGAAAGGCTGGTCTTCTGGTTAGAACAGTTGAATGCCACTCTGGAGAAGAGGATTCTATCCCTCCCTCTGCCACAGGGTTCTTGTGCGATGCCAGGCAAGGCACTGACATCAAAACATTAAGAGGTGATCAATCACTAACTGTGTGCTCCTCATTTTCTGGGACCCTGAACTTGAGACCCTGGGGTCTGATCTGCAGAAGTGCTGAGCACTCACAGCTGCTACTCAGGTCAACGGGAGCTGTGCTGTGAACATATGAAGCACTATACAATAGTATGTACGCTGAAAAGTCATGCCCCAAGCGTCTCAAACTGGGCATCCAAAATTAGTGGAATCTTTTGAATATTTTGGCTTTAATCTGTGCCTCAATTGCCAATAACACTGCACATCTCACAGGGGTGCTGTGAAGATACATTTGTTAATGTTTGGGAAGCACTCCCTTTGCTGATGAAGTGCCAAAGAAGAGCCCAGGAGGAAATTCAGAATTCTAACTTTATAGCAGAGTTCAAACAGTGTGAAAAAAAATAAGGCCTGGGACACGCATTGAATTATGTGGCTAAAATAAAATATTGACTAGCTCTCATTAAGTCACCACTGTCCATCCTGTACGCTGAACAAGGCAGGGGTCCTGTGGAAAAACCTGTATGTGATCATGTAATTAAAGACAGTATCATAATGTAGACACACAAGGGAGCAGAGTTAAGGCAGTACAGGTATCCTTCATTCTGGCTTTTCATCACTTTTGAGTGCTTTGCCATCTTAATGTTTCTTTAACTTAGTTTTGTTTGTGTTATTTCCTAGTATTTAAAAAAGTAAATGGAAAAAAAAAATTCCACCATGTGACATCGCACTGAATTTGACACTCACACAGGCCATCAGCAGGGCTGGAACCATAGACCCACAGCATAGACCTCTGCCACGTAAGCTGAGTAACTCTTAGCAGTAGAGTACAACCTCAGAGTTATGAAGACCAGAGTTACGAACTGACCAGTCAACCACACACTTCATTTGGAACCAGCAGTACGCAATCAGACAGCAGCAGACACACACACACACACACACACACACACACACACACACACACACACA